TCTGCTAGACTTTCAGTGCTGGATGCAGCTGCATAACTAGTCTCTGCCTTTAAACGTTCCTCTCTCGTTGGGCAGCATTTCAACCACATCGGAATGTTGGTAGGCAGCAAATTCGGGACAGACAATTGAAATGTGCTTACTCACAGTCACTCATTCACTTATACTGACCTCCAGCTGTAAAGGTCAGTGTATTAGGATGGATCCCGAATCCGCAGCAGCTGATTTCTTGTGTTGACACTGTTGTGGGAATTTATTGTGTGTGAAGAACAGGCTGCTTTAAAGAGCACTGTAAAAATCTGATTGGCTGAGCTGCGTTCGAAGCCTCGGAAAATCTACGATATACGCACACCTATGTAATAGAATAATCTTTGACTGTAATGCTGCTCGGATGGACCACCGAGTGTACTGATGACGTAAGAACCTGTTTCTTGTTTAAACTAAGGGGCTGGAAACTTATATTCCTAATTAGAACTGGGCTGGTCAGCTGGCTAACAGCCCAAACAGCTCCATCATTAATATCACTGGCTTGAATTAAAGCACTTACGGTTTGAGTCTCTGTAAAACTGCAGAATAAAAGACTAAAATGTCACCTGAATGTTTTACACTCTTCAAATGTGTTTCAGTCGGAAGTCACGTCAAACCCAGGCTGAATCCCAAACGGCTTCATATTCCCTAAATAGTGTTCTAGCTATGAAAGTCTAGAAATTCTAGCCTCTACAGCCAAACAGTGCATCATGTATTGAGTGTGGATGAGTCTGAGACCCAAATCACTGTTTCTTTGCTGTACTTTGCTCTGCAGGATCCAGTATTTAAACTCAGTATTTAAACTCCTATGTAGTGCACTATGTAGGGAGCAGGGAGCTGTTTGAGATTCAGCCCCAGCGTGAGAACAGGGCGCCGCTGGATCGGTGCTAAATAAGATACGCAGTAATAATTTGGTGACCAAAAAGTGCTTATAAAGAGAAAGTTTCTGCATTAAACAATGCTGTGTCATCATATGTCCATTATTATATGACAAAAGTTTAAAAATCATCAAATCACTGCAGTGTACAGTGATGGGCGACCGAACGTTCTCCTCTTTCAGCTGTCCAAGGTTGCTTGGCAATGATTCTGTGCTCTAAAGGAACTACATTTCTTGGCTGTGTGTTACTGCAATTTTATCACAGGGGAGGAAATTTTGTTGTACCTAAGACAATCCTGTGATAAAGTCATGGTAACGGACAGACTCTCGTGGCTTACTGCTTTAATATCTGCCATTATACACTCGATTTGGTGCCTCACAGTCTTAGCAAAAATATAAAAACAGTCTATATATATATATATATTATGAGATTAACTCAACTTACCATGTAGGACTGAGAATAGTCCACCAACCAAAAACATCCAGCCAACAGCGTCCTGTGACCACTGATGAAGGACTAGAGGATGACCAACACAAACTGTGCAGCAGCAGATGAGCTATCGTCTCTGACTTTACATCTACAAGGTGGACCGACAAGGTAGGAGTGTCTAATAGAGTGGACAGTGAGTGGACACAGTGTTTAAAAACTCCAACAGCACTGCTTTGTCTGATCCACTCAGACCAGCACAACACACACTAACACACCACCACCACGTCAGTGTTACTGCAGTGCTGAGAATGATCCAAACAGTACCTGCTCTGTGAGGCTCCATGGGGGTCCTGACCATTGAAGAACAGGGTAAAAGTGGCTAACAGATGTGTATGTATATATATGTATATCTGTGTTTGTATATATAAATGTAATGGGGGGAACTGGGGGATGTGCTTTTTTTTTTATCTGAACTATCGCTTTAATAGTATAGAGGTCATTTGAGCCGCCCTTCGCCTCTGGGCCTGTGGGTCAGACTACCTACGTCTGTTCCAGAAATATCCGCGCTGTGTGCCGCTCAACACGTTCCTCACGCCGGCGTTGTTCTTTCAAAGCGACGCTGCTCGTCTTCACTCCATCATTTTCCCCTCTTTTATCGCTCTATTGTGTTTGTATTCTGGTTGTGATTATAAATAACGCGGCGCGGCTCCGTCTCTAAAGCCTGTCCTGCCTCTCCGAGGGCTTTTTATGTCTTTTCGTCTCTGATGTTCTTTTCCTCCTCCACTTTATCGTTCACACTCCATTTGTGAGCATCATCCCCCCTTTTCCTCTCCTCCACCTTTCACTCTTTCCCCGGTGGAAATGATCCCTCTATCTGCTCTCCTTTCATCAGACGGATGACAGAAGCGGTGAGAGCGGAGAGAAGGCGAGTGTAGATTTACAGAGCTGTGAGTTTTGCTTTATTCTGAAATGATCTTAACTGTTAACAGATACTGAACAGATCTGATAAACACAGGTTAATACAGTCAGAACCAGAGCACTCCCGCACTGTAGAGGATAGATAGATAGATAGACGGACGGATGGATGGACGGATAGATTGATTGGTGAGTGGACAAATAGCCAATAAGATCGAAAGAAGAGGATGGATGGATGGCTGGATGGATGGATGAATGTAACCAATAAGACAGAAAGAGGAGAGGTAGAAAGATGAGTGGATGGATGGATGGAGGGTTGGGAGGGATGGACGGACAGACGAATGCACTGACTGATAAACACAATAGATAAACATAATAATGGATGATGGCTGGATGAATAGATGGATGACAGATAGATAAACATAGATAGATAGATGGAAAGAAGGATGGACAGACAGATAGCCAAAAAGATAGAGAGGCAGATAGATAGATAGATAGGTAGATAGATAGATAGATAGATGGATGGATAGACGGATAGATTGGTAGGTGGGTGGACAAATAGCTAATAAAATCGAAAGAAGAGAGATGGAAAGACAGGTGGATGTAAGGATGGACAGACAGACAGATAGATAGATAGCCAGAAAGCTAAGTAGAGAGATGGATGGATGGATGTTGGATAGATGGATGACAGACAGATAAACATAGATAGATAGATGTAAAGAAGGATGGACAGACAGATAGCGAGAAAGATAGAAGAAAAATGATAGGTGGATGGATGGATGTTGAATAGATAGATAAATAGACTGGTTGGTTGGTTGGTTGATAGGTGGGTGGACACAGGCAATAAGATAGAAATAAGATACAGAGAAAGACGGATGGATGGATGGATGGGAGGAGGAATGGAGGGATGGAAGTTGAGGGGAGCTACACTGCTGTAGGCTGAAAGGGCAGATATTTGTAATTGGCTGGTTTTTATGACATCACAAAGCTGTATTTTACAGTTCAGTGTCCATATAAGGACGGACTGTATGTGCTGCAAAGCGGACGGCTCATCTGGAACCTTTAACAGTGTTTACTGACCACATCACACTGTTTAATTAAAAAGCCCAGTTTTCCATGATATGGCCCTTTAACAGAGGTCAAGCTCAGAGAGAAGTGTTGTTGTTAATCAGGACGTGTTTGGACTCGTTTGGACCTGTCCATTCTGCTGTCCGCTGGATTGACTGATAGCTGTCAGTCACTCTGCCCCTCCTGACAGAGTCCGTGCTGATCTGAGTGAGTGTAGCGTGGTCAGAGCAGCCTGATCTCTCTGACCGTCTGCGGTCTACAGCCCAGAGGGAGCCAGCTGTCGCAGAGATACAAGCTGGATGCATGCTGGACTGGACCCTCGCTTCAGGCATGTGATCATAAACATATGGTCACCCATTACATAACAGCAGCGACAGGAGTGACCATTTTTCAGCAGCACCACATATACACTCACTGGCCATTTTATCAGAAACGCTTACCATACCAATTAGGTCCTTTATATACCTTTTATGATGTCACATAATCACTGTCCCCTTTATTAGGAACATCCACCCTGTGCCTCCACTAACTGGCCACTTTATTAGAAACACCCAGCTTGTACTTCCACTAACTGGCCACTTTATTAGAAACACCCACCTTGTACTTCCGCTAACTGGCCACTTTATTAGAAACACCCACCTCGTACTTCCGCTAACTGGCCACTTTATTAGAAACACCCACGTTGTGTACAGTTTCATCTGCTGAAGTGCAGTTTTCCTTTAGTCTTTCATCAGTGATCACAGAGCTGCTGTTGTCTGGAAAATTCCACCAATGTTTGTAATCAGAGAGATTCAGAGTGGTTTGGTGTGAAATGGTTCAGATGTCTTTACAGTGGTGGTGATAGGAACCAGGGGTCGCCATGACTACAACACAAATATGGACATTTTATTTACTATCCAGAACCACCAGTGAACCTACACGAGTCTTCTGAGTCTATATGGAATGTTGATGATGGAAAATAGTGGAAAATCTGAAATAATAAGTTTTCTTTGGGGACTATTTTGCCTCACAGCGCCCTGCATGTATCCCTCCACCATGAATGGAGTTTAAGTTCTCTAAACTATCATAAAACAGTGTCTCAGTCATCAGGCAGTGAATTCATAACCATTTCATGTAGGAACTTTCTGTGAGGGAGCTTTTAGAGGTGGACGTCTGGTTCCTATCACCACCACTGTGAACAGTTCTGACTCAGTAAGTTTATCTAGAACAGAGCGTTTCACACCGAACCACTCAGAACGACTCTGATTACGTCTTAACCATTTAATTATGCAGGTATTTTGAAAAATTCCTGGAGTTCTCCTATTCTCCCATTATTATTATTATTATTATTATTATTATTATTATTATATCTCAGTTCTGTATTGAATGCTGTTACGTTCTTGTTGTTTACAGTGTTTGTTTTTGTGAACTCGCGTGTGTGTGCTCGCGTGATGCGCAGCTTGGCGCGTGCGCCGGTATGCCCCCCCCCCACCCCGCTCCTTTCCACACACACACTCCCAAAACTCCCCTCCCGCTCAAACCGTGACGTGCATGCGCGTGCGTGCCAGAGCGTGTGCAAGTGTGTGTGTGCTGCTGGAGCGGGAGCGCGCGCCACATCTCTGCTCCAGTCACGGTGATTTTCCCTCGCCCGCTCGCGCTCTCTCTCTCTCTCTCCCTCTCTCTCCCTCTCTCTGTGTCTCTGGGATAAGGCGATGGCGGGAGCGAGGCGCGCGCAGCAAACAGCACGGTAACGAAGCTCTGTACTCGTCTCATGGTGCACGTGCATGCTGGGCTTGTGTGTTTGTTTCTTTGTGTGTTTGTTTGTTTGTTTTTTTCTTGCTGCTCTTTTATCCTGTCCGAGTTCTCCTGTACCCCCGTGGCGCGCGCGCTTTCTCACACGACGCGCTCTCGCGCTGCCCCTCTTCGCTCTCGTGGCGGTGCAGGTGCTCAGCGGTTCTGGATCTGTTTGTGTGCATGTACATGTACATATGTCTCGCTGCTCGCGCGTCCCCTTTGCTTTTAAAGCAGCTCGTGCGTCTTCTGCTTCTGTCTCCGCGCGCGCTGCTCCGCTCCAACACCTTCACCTTCACTCGTGCGCGCGTGCTCCTCGCTTTTGCTGCTGTTGCACTGGCGATAAGTGCGCGAGGCCTGCTGCTGCTGCTGCACGCGCCAGAAAAGAAGCAGAAGCGCGACCTCCCGCTGCGCTATAGGTCCCCCCCCATGGATGACAGGGCGTCCTAGGGCTGCACGAGACCGCAAAAGTGAGCGCGCGTGGGTGCGTTCCTCTGCCCAGCAGGTGCATTTGTACCTGATAAACAGCTGTGCACAGATGTAGGTCAGTGGAGAGTCTCCTCATATGGCAAAAATATATAGACATATACTTTATATATAAATACATTTCAAACATTTAAATGTGTTTCAGAATATTTTGCCATATTAATCAAATATATATTAAAACACATTTATTTTAAACTGTATGGTGAAATATTACACACAGATAAAAATAACTGTGTGTAAATGTGTTTATCAAATCCATCTGAAAATGTATGAAAATCTCCAGAATCCTGTCTGATGCTCTTCACTGTCTGATACCTTTAGAAATGAATTTGTGTTCCAGTCTCTTCATTTTAAATCTGATCTAATGATCCTTTAACAGACAGAAGCGAGTGTTGTGGGTATTGATACTCTGTGAAAATGCAGTTATGATCTGATATCTTGTTTATGTGAAATACATTGTGTGTGAGAGTCTGACTGCAGACGTACATGGTTAATGTAAAGTACAGTGCAGATCACAGAAGAACGTTTAGTTACATCTGGAACCTTCATTACACTCAACTGAACACAGATAATAACTAATACTGATAAATGCAAAAATATATTTAACAAATACGTTTGAATATATGTTTTTTCCATATGGGAGAATAGCAGCGTGTTTAGTGTTTTGGTGGAGTGGAGGCTTTGAAGGTTCACTGATCTGCGTCCAGAATGGTTGCCGCTTACTGATAAACAACAACAAAAACAACAACAAATCAAACCACCAGGCTGTTCATGTGATCCTGCAGGCTGTAGTGCTGCTGTAAACTTGACCTGATGCAATTATTTACACTAACCTCAATATTTATTTTTTTTATTACTGCATTTAGACAAACTCAACTCCAAAACAGCTGTGACAGCAAAAAAATGTGAATCAATAAAGTGCTAATAAAGTTCCTAATAAAGTGCTCAGTGAGTGTACACTTTGCTCACAAAAACAACAGAAGTTCTAAGTTCTAATTGGTTCTGTCTGGTGCTATAACATGTTTGGAGGTGAGGGATGTTTGTTTATTTGAGCTCAAATTGTGTCATCAGTTGGAAACAACACCCTGAAGAAGATTTTTAAAGAATTCCTTAGTAAAGAAAGTTGTTTGTGTGCCTAAACGCTTCTTTGCCTGGTGAAATGGTCCTTCAGACTGATGTGAGAATGTGTTTTATATGGTTCTATATAGAACCTTTGTGAAAATGGTGCTGTATAGCACCAAAAAGGGTTCTGCTGTTGTTAGAGGCTTGGCATTGTAACAGTACCAGCACCCATTTTGGTGCTATATGGAACCATTTACAGCATGTTCTCCATCAAACTGAACTGTTTCACCATTTAAGCATGCAAATAGTTTTTGAGTGTTCGTGGTTCTACAGAACCACTGCCCTTACTAAAGAACCCTTGAAGAACCTTCTTTTTCAAATGTATACCAAGTAGGAAGCAATTGGTTGAGCGTTGTGTCTTTGCAGTCAGTCAATTATGGCCCACAAGGTGATTTTAATTCAGAATATGGATTCTAAGTTTATCTAGCGAGCCAGAAACAAACCATAATCAGGCCACAAGAGCGATGCGAGCCGGATGCTACAACACTACACTAAATTTCATGACCACAACACATGGCAAAATAGTTGTTACAGGAGCTTGTTTACACTGTCTTACATCACATTTCCTTTAACAGCACTTAATAATCGTTTGGGAACTGAAACACTGATTTCTGTAGTTGTGAAAGTGGATTTTTTTCCCCATTTTTGCTTAATATAACACTTCAGCTGCTCAGAAATCCAGAGACTCCATTCTCGTAACTTCCGCTTCATAATGCACCACGTTTTCTGTGGGTAACTGGACTGCAGACAGGTCAGTCCAACACCTGCACTTTCTGTAACACATGCAGTATGTTTCTCGGTGTGTCATGTTGAAATAAGCATGGACGTCTCTGAAGAAGACGGCGTCTAAAAGGCAGCAGGTGTTGCTCCAGAATGTGTTCAAGATTAATGGTACTGTGCCTCAATGACAGCCCTCAAGAGCCGGCGGGAAGGCATGGCCTGAATCCTGAACATGGCCGAGGGACGCAATGACAGCCAAACCCCACCACGTAGGCCGGACCTCCTGTTCCGCAGTGAGGCCGCTAGACTACACCTTAAGTCGACCCCAGCGGCCGAGCTGTGAAGTGTGGGCTGTGATGGGGAGGCGGAGCAATGAGCTCTGTGAGCTTCTCGGTTCAGGAGCGCTGCCCTTAATGAGAGCCAGCTGAGGCTGATCTGATCAGCGTGAGCACCTTTAAAAAGAGCAGAGGGGGAACAGAGAGAGAGGAGAGGAACGAGCAGCAGCGGCAGACTGAAAAGCTGAAAAGCTCAACTTTGAGAGAAGGACTGAAAAGTCTGGCTTTGAAGTCACTGAAAAGTGACCAGCTTTGATTTTGGTTGTTTTGTTGGTTGTCGTGAGTGGAAACAAAGAAATGGCTGCTGCAGATGTTTCTCCTGCCTCCAGAGGGTGCTACAGGTGCTTTTACAGATGTGCAGGTTAACCACTAATAACCCCCCCGAGACCACGACAGATGCTGGATTTAGAACTTTACACTGGTAACGGTCTGGATGGTCCTTTTCCTCTTTGGCTCAGAGAACACAATGTCTATTATTTCCATAAACAATCTGAAAGGTTTACTCGTCAGACCACAATACATGTTTCCACTGAGCGTCAGTCCATTTCAGATGAGCTCGAGCCCAGAGAGGTTGGCGGCGTTTCTGGATGTTGTTGATATATGACTTCGACTGTGCAGAGTACAGTCTTCACCTGTATTTGTGGATGCAGCGATGAACTGTTGTACTGACGAGGGTTTTCTGAAGTAATCCAGAGCCCATGTGGTTATATTCAACCCAGAAGCATGTTGGTTTTTAATGCAGTGCCCTCTGAGGGATGGAAGGTCATGGGTATTTAATAATGGTTTTCAGCCTTTTCCTTTACACACAGAGATTTCTATGGATTCTCTGAATCTTTTAATAATGATATGGAGTGCAGATGGTGAATTCCTTGCAGTCATACTTTGAGAAACATTGTTCTTAAACTGTTGGACTATCCGCTCACGCGCACAAAGTGGCAGCTGAGCTGTTTGTGAATGCTCATCTTCTGTCCACCTGATGCAATCATCATTGCTTTGAATTTGGTTTGTAAACACAAGAAAGCAAACAGGTTTGTTGAGACGAATCATTGGTCCTGTGAAAACAGCAAAAGTTCTAACTTCTTCTGGTTCTAGCTTGTACTGTAATGTTTAGTGGTGAGGGATGTTTGTTTATTTGGGCTTCAATTTTGTCTGCCATCAGTTGGGAACTGCCCGCTTAAAAAAGATGGTTCTTTAAATGTTTTTTAGGTAATGGTTCTATTTAGATATATTTCTATATATAATGATTTCATGCTTAAATGGCTTTGCATGGTAAAATGGTTCTTTAGAATGGCGGAGAATGTGTTGTATATGGTTCCATATAGAACCTTTTTGAAAATGGTTCAACATAGCACATAGCAAGCGTGGCATTATAACAGTAGCAGAACCATTTTTGGTGCTATATGGAACCATATGCAATACATTCTCCATCTGAAGAACCATTTCACCATTTAAGCATGCAAATGTTTTTTTTTTGAGTGTTCATGGTTCTATATACAGCTGTGCAGCACCAAAAAGTGTTTTACTGTTGTGACAAGCTTGACATCGTAACAATAGCAGAACTTTTTCTGAATGCTTTATAGAACCATGCAACACATTCTCTGTCATTCTGAAGAACCAGTTCACCATGCAAAGACCCATTTAAGCATGAAATGGTTTTGTACAGAACTCATGGTTCTAGATAGAACCACTGCTTTTACTAAAGATCCCTTGAAGAACCATCTTTTTTAAGTGTGTACCAAGTAGGAAGGAGTTGGTTGAGCGTTGTGTCTTTGCAGGTGGTCGATCTCGCTCCACATGAATTCTAAGTTCATCTACTGAGCCAGATACAAACCATAATCAGGCCATATGAACCTGCAAATGAGGTGCCGTTCTTACTTGGGAAGAGTTTTAGCTGTGTAGGACCGGACGTGCACAGACAGACCCCGCAGGGGGATTGAAGTTCCTCCTCTTGTGCCCTCAGACTGTACGAGAGCCGCCTTTGTTGGTGTGTATTTTAGATGGTTCTTCAAGATCCCTTTTAGTGAGATTCTCGCACATTTAGCATCACCACAGGGTTGGAAATCCCTCCAATAAAACACTCATAATCTCTTTAAGAACGTGTCTCGTTCCATAATGTGCTTATTTTGAAAAACACCCAAATATAACGTCGGCAGTGCGCAGTGTTAATAACTTTCTACACTACGTTCTCATCAGTGTGAGAAACGGGTTTCTGTCTCTGTGGAGCTCAGACACAGTTCTGACTGAATACTGTGTGGTGATTAAACAGTGCGGCGAGTATCGCTGGAGACTCAAA